TAAAGCAGAGCTCTTCAACAGGGGGTCCGCGACCCCTAGGGGGTCCGCAGAGGTACTGCATGGGGGTCGCAAAAGTCTTGGTTGATTACTTTTTTTAATATTCCCTCCTGCAATTTTTTGCACTAATTAAAATGTCTTTAAATACACATGAACATGAATTTAGTAAACAGATAAATGGAGGCAGAAGATGTCTTTCAGTCATCAGTGCACACATTCAGCGACACACAGGAGCTCTTTCAAACTGGACACCGTTTCATTCACAACACCTGTCCCATCAACCAGGAATCAGAATCAGAAATACTTTAATAATCCCAGGGAGAAATTAGTTCCATTACATGACTCCATCTGTAATAGAGTGACTATAGGACCAGTTTGATATAACACAATTTCATACAATATATATAATTAGGGGGTCCCCGCTCCATCTCGCAATCAGTTTGGGGGTCCTTGGCCTCGAAAACGTTGAAGACCCCTGCTTTAAAGGATGTGTGAAGACAAGCAGCAAAAGCAAACACCCAGATAAACCACACAGGTCCGCCTTCTGGATCAATTCAAGATTTTTATTTTGACAGCATTTCAGAATATAATACAGGTAAACAATGTTTTGTTTTTCTTTTTTTTTGTTGCAAAAGTTAATATATTCATAGTGTTGCCTTTTAATAAAAATAGTTGCTCACTTACAGTCTCTGTGACCATCAATAGTTACACTTCTTCTACATGGAGAGATTAGCTCAGGGTCTACACACTGCTAAAACACCACAGTGACACAGAGCTGCTCGGGTGCTGCGGTTTAATGTCGGGGGGAAACATCCTTGGACATCTGCTCACAGTTTGGATCCGCAGAGAGAGAAAGCAGCGACTTGTGCAAAAGTTTAAGCTTCTGTGTCAAACTGGATTTCATGAGAGAAACATTCCTGCACAAGGATCAGACTGAGACTGAAAAGACAAGCTGATGATGCTTCTTCCTCCCCTCCCCCTCTGTGCTGGATGCTGTTTTACAATCAGTCAGCTCACTTCTGGTGTAAATACAGATTATAGCGGCAAACATGATGAGTCCTCGTCTCCCTTTGCTCTTTTAAGAAGCTCTTGTAGCAGAGCAGAGGAAGGTAACTTTATTGCCTTTTAAGATTTGAATCCCCGCTCACCTCATCCCCAAAATAAGTGGATTTATCTTTTAATTTTTTAGTTTACTGCTAAAATTTAAACAAATACTTTTTTTCCTATATATGTTCTGCAGTCATTTATATACGTACTTGTTTAGTGGCGACAAAGTTAGTGATTTTTTTAAGGTTAAAATAGCATTTAAAGTAAAAAATGTAAGGGTGATGCATCTCTCTGTTTTGGTACATAAAATTGTATTTATATATATATATATTTTTTTTACATATTTCTTAGGATTTTCTCTGATTTCTTCTCTTTGGATGTGGTGAAATATTTTCAATTTTAAAACAAGAACTTTTGGAGCGTATGAGTTTTGTTTTCTTTGGAATCTTTGTTCTCAAACTTTCTTAATGTTCATGCAGAAAAAAGAAAACGTCCGATGAAATGCTGAGCTTTTCACAGCAGCGGAGGCTGCAGGTGTGCAGGAATAGGAAGTGACCTCCGGTCAGCTTTTTTTGTTGGGGGGAGTCCAAGATTAGAATGTGACCCTGGTTATTTAGAGCACGCCACAGACCATCCTCTATCTAACACAGTTTCATCTAAAACTGTAGATAAATGCCCAGTGTCTCCTAAAACTCTACTGGTCAGACGTTTACATGAAATCATAGAAATAAAAGTAGATTTCTTTCACATTAAATATCTCTTATAAACCTAAACTAACTGCTTTTTTAGTTCATTTAAAATGGCGTGCTTCCTGACACAGAATGATTATTATTTTTGACCATCGAGGTGCTGATTTGAAGGCCGACCTTCTTGATTTTTCCACCTATTTAACACAATGCTGCAATACCAGCAGCCTCACAGCATGATGCTGCCACCACCATGCTTTATAGTTAATTTTTTTCTACATTCTTTGTATAATTTTAATCAAACATTTCTCCAGAGGGTTGCATGATACTGGCCAAAACACAGTCACATGGTGTTTCATCCACACGCCTTTCAAAATGGGGCTTTTAAACTTTTAACGTGTTAAAAAAAAAAATTTCACAAATACTTTTTGTTTTATAGCTGTGTAAACAAATAAAATGAGATTTAAAATTCCACTGACATGCGTGACTCTGCGAGAGTAATGAAACAGCAGGTATTTATTTTAAGCCACACCCCCTAACGGCCGGCATCATTGGAAACTAGAGGCTCAGAGCTTTCCGAGGAGGGGTCGGAGGTCATTGTGCGACCATTTAAGTGATGTAATCGGCATGCTTTAAATAAGCTTGCTCTGTTATTATTATTTTCTATTCAGTTTGGTGATATTTTTGGTAAATTTCCATGAAACAACAACTAAATCTTAGGAGCAAAGGCTTTGCATTATGCAGAAAGTCTCCAATAATGTAAATCAGCATGTTGGACCGGCCGGATTCCCTATTATGAGTGGAAAAATGCATTTGGCACAATTTGCCCACTTTTGGCTAGCATCGTGAGACCATCCTGATGTCGCGAGCTTTCAAGGTTCCACTCGCAGATCAGTCTGGAGACTCTCCGTTAAAGAAAATTTGGAGCCGTTCACCAAACGAACGTCCAATCAGCGTTGGCTTTGAGGCGGGTTGAGGTGTGACGCAACGAGAAGCGCGACAGTTCAGTCTAAAGAACATGGCGGCTTCAGCCGATGAAACTAGCGTTAGCGTGGCTATGGAGCAAGTTTTATCGGAATTACAGAGTATTTCTTCAGTGAAAGAAGAGCTAAACACTGCTCTGGAGGCTTTTCTCAGAGGAAAAGATGTTTTTGCTTTTCTCCCGACTGGTTTCGGCAAGAGTTTGATCTATCAGTTGGCTCCTCTTCGTCGTCGCTCTGTTAGTACGTCATATGCTTCGTTGATCTGATTGGTTTATTTGGCCCGTCTATCACCAACATAGGCCAATCAGCTAACCAGTATTTTCGCCCCTTCCCAAAATTACTTCAACGGAAGGTTTCCAGATGGATATGCGGAGCAAATCCATCTGGCGGAGTCAAGTTAACTTTTGGCACCACTGTGCCAAAATCACATTTCCGCCAAGCACACTGCTCACTACAACCTTTGTCGAGCAAACATGCTTCAACTTATTCAATTCAAATTTGCTTGATTTATAGTCAAGATCTGCATCTATAAAGTCTGAGGGTTCATCCAGAGTTTCAAATGGGGTTTCATGATGTTTTGCAGTTTTTACTTTTCATTTTCTTCTCTGTTTAATATAAATCAGAACTGATGACATTTAAAATAGTGATTCCACCTGAAAAAAACAAATCCTCAATGCCTTTCTGTCATACAAATACAAACATAGTTTGGGAGCAGTAGTTGCTTTAATTCACATATGTAATTTCAGGTGCAATTTGCTACTAAGACCCTCAGGACTTAAGGGATTTGGGTTGAACAGCTTTAGCTTGATTCCTCCAAACATATGACTCATTATTTGTGTTTGAGATCAACGTCCTCTTAAAAACTGACAGGTTTGTCAGAGTTTAAAATTAAAAAACTTTAAATGGGAAAAAAAACAAAGAAAAACATGACTGATATTTGGTCTGGTTGAAGATTGAGTTGATGCTTTATATCCAAGAACTGGCACGGTGACGGCGGTAGCATGCTGTGGGCCAATTTTTTTTGTTTTACAGTTGAAAATATTGAACTTTAAATCAAAGGATATATAAATTAAACTTGATGGCTATTTTAAACTTCAGCGTCAATGAACTTATTTTGAATTTTTTTCTGCATCTTTATTCAAAAATTATTAAAGTAATCAAGCCCTAAAATGTACTAACAATCATGTCCATCTGTGATGTAAAGGTCTGACCAGAACCTGATGTAGCTTCAATAATCCTCCTTCAAGTGAGATTTGGCACAGATGTGTTTCTCCCAACAACACAGTGCAAACAGAACCAACAATAAAAGGCAATCATGAGGCCTCAGCAATATCTAACAAAGGTAAAGTCCAATTAAAAAAAACAACAATTAACAAACTTAGTAATTTGAGTTGAAAGGTGCTGGTTTGATTACATGAATAAGTGTTTGCTTTATGGTAAATAATAGAGTTGGATTTAAATAAACCAACAGCAATGACCCAAGGTGAACCATTTGCTAAAACAAAAGACCTCTGCTAATGGGCTAACTATCGTATTTATTGAATAAATTATATAATTAACTATTTATCACATTTAAAAATACATTTTCTAATTAATTTCTGTGAAGTTGGTGTTTTATAGCAGCCAGACTATTCGTCAGTCTAAGGCACGCATCATTATTCTCTCTGCCGCCAAGGGACGACGGCTTCGTAAATTGCTTTGTCCTTTTGTCTTTAAGCACAACAGTTACCATAGAAACGGATAAACGGGACAGTCGTACAGAACGGGAAACAAACGCTGCAGTGGAAACCCCGGAAACCTGCAGATGAAGATGCTGAGCCGATGGTCTCTGGTCCGCGGGTCTCTGAACATCCATCAGTTTTCTTTAGAAGCTTCTTCACTATGAAGATGGTCTTATTTACAAACCGTTTGCAGATATTTTTTATATAATATACTGTATCTTTAGCCACGTGATGGATTAGTTGAGAGCAACCGAGGCCCACATGGTCTCTAAGGCAAAGCTCGGCTGATGAGTGGATTTCATCTCTGCTGTCACGTTTTCATTCATTCATTCCCCCAAAAAACAGGCGAACCTTCTTCTTAAACATTCCACTTCATAAAATAGAACAATTTGAACAGTAAATATATTCATATAAAAAGTCTGAGCCTGTTTCCTGTCCAGCTCAGACATGTCAGAGTTCTCGCCCTGCTACTTGATTGCTCTTTCTTCTCCGTAAAGTGGATGATTTTTCAGTTTTTAAGGTGGTGGGTGTAACATAATACTCCAGAATAACTTAAAATACAGTAGTATAAATAAAAGTTCAAACGACATGGTCTAGATAAGCCCCCTCGCTTTGTTTTTTTTTTAATATATCTTTGGGAGGATATGGGAAGAGGAGACTGTGAAGGTGGCTGTCTAATCCGGATGAACGTGGACGCTGCGGCGTTATCTGCTGAGCGTGGACGCACCTGTGCGCAGCGTGCTGGGCAGCTTGTCTGATCCAGGGATCTTCCACGGACCGGGTGAGACCGTGGCCTTCCTTCCCACCGTGGCGGCGCTGCTGGTGCTCTTGCCGGGGCGGCCGACTCCCAGGTCGCCGTCAGGCTCTCTGAGCCTGGCTTTACCCCGACGCTCTGCGCTTTCCCTGCTGTTCCCGTTAGTGTGTGGGACCTTGGAGCTGCTGGGAGAGCGAGTCCTCTCCTTGGACCTTCCTCTGGTGCTCCTCGAAGGTTTGGGCTCCCCACCTTGTCCCTCCTTGTCCCTTTCTTCATCAGTAGTGTGCTGCTGCATCCTGTGTCCCTTATGGATGGACCTGCCACCGTCGTTCTTTGCTCTGCCGCCGCTGGTGGGGGTTCTCCTCCCCTGAACCATGAGGTCTCTGTTCGGCAGCAGCTCAGCTTTCTGGGGGCTCTTGGAACGCTCCGCCAGTCTGTCTCGAGCCACGGCGTCCCGAGTCGCATCCTGAGGAGGCAAATGAGGAGGGTCGGGGGCCGGGGCCAAATGAGATGAAGGCGTTTGCATGGTGAGGCTGTCGATGGGCGGGCCTACTTCCGACAGGCTTGGGGAGGCTGAAGGGCGACCATCCCATGGGGCGGCATTGTCTGGAACAAAGAGACACATGGTAAGAAACACCAAAAAATAAGAAACACAAACACACACCCAGAACACCACTACATCTATTAACCTTTAACTCTACTGGGGAAAGCAGAAAGCCGTCTGTAATGGTTGAAGATCATCAACTAATTTTAGTATCAGATCTATTAGAGAAGGATTTTAATGATTTATTTCATTTGTAATGAAAAACTAATGATTCCGTCCGGACCATCACATTCCTACATGTTTGAATTAAAGGTATGATGTATTTCTTGTGAAATCAGACCAAATATACATTTATATTTGAGGACACAGACTTTTTAAAAAGCTCCACTTTGTCTCATCAGAACAGAATATTTTCTGGGGGGGATCATCGGGGTTTTTGAACTAATCTGAAGCTGATGTTCTTTTTTTTTAAATCAAAAGTTAAACTTAGCTTTGTGGGAAAATGTAATTAATCTCTTAATGAACAAAGTCAAAGTCTTAATTGACTCCAAACACCTTAAAAAAATGCTTTAATGACATTGGTCAGTATTAAGCTAAAAATAAGTTTTGCGTGAAGGCCTACCAACATATTGCACAGTTTCTACCAGAGTATGTTACATAAAATGCTGCTGTCTTTTAGCACATCTCTGATATTGCTGCCTTTTATATATTATTTATTTATTTGCTGCTAGTTATTTATTCTCCAGGTGCACATTTTTTTTTTTTTTTGTCAAAACACTTTACAGTACCTTACTTTATTTTTTATCTTTTAACTCTTCACTATTTTGGGGCGATCGTTCTTTTGCCGTCGCTGCTCCCAGACTGTGGAACGAACTATCCCCCTGACATCCGCGCCACTACTGACCTCAGCCTTTTTAAAAAAAAGCTTAAAACCCACTTTTTTTAAATTAGCTTTTAATTCTGACTATAATACTGTCTCTTAGATGTCATCTTTCTGTGTGCTCCTTTCTATGCACCTCTGAAAGGCTTTTAATGTCCTGCAGCGCTGCATCACTACAGCATTTTTAATTATATCTTGTATGTTTTTATATGTGTTATGTATTGTTTTTATGGCTTTGTTGTAAAGCACTTTGGGTACCATTTGGCTATTGTAAAGGGCTACACAAATAAATTTGATTTGATTGATTTGATATTTTTTTCTATAATCTTTTTCCTGCTGTAAACAATTCCCCCATTATAGGACAATAAAGGTGTATTCTATTTTATTCTATTCTATATGTTGGTAACAAGTTTTTTTCTTATGAAGAATCAGATTTTTTTGCCATTAAGCGACTGTTTTTTTTTTTTTAAGTTTAAGAATATAAGTTTAATCATATAATTTTGAATTAACCTCAAACTAAAACGTCTTCCCGTTATAAAAAAAACATGGTTTCTAAAACTAACAATCTAATTAGTTTAAGGCCCTCAGATTTGATGCATCTCTTATCCACCTCTGATTGGTTGATCCGTTTCCCCTGATGGCACAAAAAGCAACGCTCCAACAGGTCAGAGCTTGTAGAAAATGTTTGATTTGCTTGCATGTTTTGCTACGTTTATCTGTTTTTGTGTAAAGATTCCAACTTATGGACGTTGAAATTCATAACTTGTTAAAACTGAATCCTTTTTGTATCCAATAGATGAACCACTGAGCAGAGACCTGGAGTCCAAACAACCGATTTCCAGCTGTTTAAGGCAGCATATTTCCAATCACCTGATATGGGACGCAGGAGCTGCAGGTAAGTATGGAGGATAAAAAGTGCCACAATTAAATAAATAAATACAGCGATAAACAATTAATTAAATGTGTAATTCATTAAATAAATAAGGAATTAAATATATAAATGTGTCATTAATTTAATAAAATACGTCTTCATTTTATAAAAAAAAAAATATATAATTATTTCAGTGTGCATTTAATTATTTCATGGTCCTGTGTCGCAGTGCATCGAAACCATTAAAAGAATCTGTCAAACTCACCCATCAAAGTTAGGGGCGGTTATCTAACACCTGATTGGTCACCCTGCACATTAAGGCGAAGCAAATCGATTACAGAGACTCGATTCGTGTTAACCCCGCCCCCTAACTTTGATGGGTGAGTTTGACAGATTCTTTTAATGGTTTCGATGCACTGCGACACAGGACCATGAAATAATTAAATGCACACTGAAATAATTATAGATATTTTTTTTAATAAAATGAAGACGTATTTTATTAAATTAATGACACATTTATATATTTAATTCCTTACTTATTTAATGAATTACACATTTAATAAATTGTTTATCGCTGTATTTATTCATTTAATTGTGGCACTTTATATTAGTGACGTGGTTTTAATTAATGAATGACACATTTATTTATTTAATTCCACATTTAATTAATTATTGACACATTTAATTATTTATTTAATGCTGTATTTATTTATTTAATTTTGACACTTTTTATCCTCCATAGGTTAGGTGCTGTCTTTCTGTTCTATATTCATTGTTCTGATCATAGAGGCGAACAGATCAAAGCTGGTTTGAGGATCTCTATATTTGTTTATTTTCTCCTCTCAGATTAACAAGAGGTGTTAAACTCTGATAAACCCATTTGTTTAAACTCCAAATAGACTATTAAACTGAATCTAAACACCTTTTAAACCTGAGAAACGAACAAAATGAGCTGAGAAGTTATTCATCCTTTGAAATGAAATCTGATGGATTATGATGCTGATTGTTTCCTGCACTTAAAATAATTCGACACGGCTGATTACACTATGTAATAACATAAATCAATGGATTTTTTTTTCTAAAAGCTGGAAGCAGCTCTGAATCCTACTTCCAAATGTGTTGGAGAGCGGCTTCCCTCTCTGGAAACATCAATCTGCCTCCCGTTGCTCTCCGTAAGGCCGAGGCCAATCTAAAAGCTTGGCGGAAAATCGAAACCAGGTTTAATGAAATGGACGATGGGCCCAACAGGGCGTTGTTTCAGGGAGGATGAAAACCTTCTAAGGGTGAGCACGCCCCCCCACAGTCAATCCACAAAAAAAAAGAAAAACTCCCAACTCTCACAGACTGTTAGCTTCTGTTTCTGCACCACTAAGCCTCGGTCCCTCGGCTATCAGTCATTTTCTGCAGTCCAGGCACGGGGGGTGGGGGGGCTAAGCTCGCTACAGCAACAGAGACTCAGTTATAGAAAAGCCTCTAGTACTAATAATACATACAGAACAAAAACACAGTAAATTACACTTGCACTGGTTTGCAGGACAAACTAATAAATATTAATATGTTAATTTCAGGTATAAAGCCAGAGGGAATTATTTAAAGCAACCAAATGCAGCCTTATAGCTTCTGCTGCTCCATTTTGCATGGACACCCACAGAGGGCTGTGGGGATGCTAATAAATGACCTACACAAAAATCTAGCACAGCATACTTTAAATAAAACAGAGTTCCATTCATATTTATTGGCACTCCAGAAAAATAATATGAGCAATTTTCTTTCCTTCAATCCTTCTAAAAGTATTGTTAGGTTTATCCTTTATACATCATGTGCATTGTTATTCTGTTAGCCAGATTAGACAGAGTAGAAGGCCTTCCTTCACATTGTGGATGTCACTGTGTGTACGGAGGTCATCTAATCAGGACAGCCTTCGTGTCTTTAAGAATACACAGGATATGGGCACATCTTGGAGCCGGTCTGATAGAGGAGAGCTATCTGTAATCCTGAAGCATAGAAGCAAGCTGCATGAAGTTCAACACATGGATGGCGTGTCAGTTTCTGATACGGACAGCTAAACATCAACATGATGCAACACATAGACTCATGAGCTATAAGAAGCAGGAGATGACCTCGTTCGGGGCTCAAACATTGCCGGACGCTCGCGGGCGTGATTTTTGAGCACACAGCTGTGCAAGCTCCAAGGATTTTCTTTGTCCTGTAATGACCTGATCTGGAATAAACTCTGTTATTTTTTACTCCTGTTTTATAGTCCTTTTCATATGGTTTTACCCAGTTTGAGTTAAGTGTAGTAAAGAACTTGCTCCCAGGAAAAGAACCGGTGAGGAGGCCCGCGGGGCGCAACAACCTTTTTTACAAGGGGCCAAATCCTCCTTATTGTAACAGTATCATTTTGATCTGTCGCACTAAAGAGGACAAAAACATAATATTTCCCAATTTTAAACTATCTGGTATTTTATTGAACGTCTCAAATGAAGTCAAATATCTTGGTCATGTGTTGACAGACCGTCTGTTTGATGATGAAGACATTTGCCGTCAGGTCCGAATGATATACACTCAGGCAAATATCCTTGTCCGGAAGTTTGGATTCTGTTCCGACGAAGTGAAACTGAACTTGTTCACTGGAAAAACAATCTAGAAATAAGTCAAAATTGTTCAAATTACGTGCATTTACCCTTAATTTGAGTAGGTAAGTGAGATAGTTTGCCAATGGAATTTTTACTCTTAAAATAAGATATTTAGATAAAATGCATTCGAAATAAGACAATGCGATTGTGTTTTCTTATATTAAATCTAATTTGTCTTGTCCCATTGGCAAAGTGGATCTTTTTCCACCTCAATCCAAGAAAAATTGCACTTATTTGAAGAAATAATGACTTATGTAGATTTAGATTTTTTCCACACTGCAAAAAACATCTAGAAATAAGTAAAAAATGTCTTAAATTAAGTGTATTTACCCTTAATTTGAGCAGGTAAATAAGCTGATCTGCCAATGGAATGAGTATTTTTACTCCTAAAATAACATAATTAGATAACATACACTTGAAATAAGACAATAACATTGTTTTTTTCTTATTTTAAATGTAAATTGTCTTGTTCCATTGGCAAAGTCTCTCACTTACCTCCTCAATTCAAGAAAAAATGCACTTAATTTCAGCAAAAATGACTTTTTTAGATTTCAATTTTTTGCAGTGCAGTGTTCAGATCATATTGCACGTCACTGTATACGGCACATTTGTGGTGCAACTTAAAAAAAGCCTGTCTTCATAAGTTGAAGGTGGCTTATAATGATGCACTAAGAC